TTTACGAAAAATTTGAATAAATCGCAAAATTTATATCAGAAATCGACAGCAATGAGCATTGCGTTGTTTCATTGATAATTTTGCATCAACTATGATGCAGGCTGATTTGGCCTCTCGAAAACGGCCTAACCTGCAGACGCGAACTGCCGACTTCATTCATAATTTTCAAATTTATGCAACCTTGGTCAAATAACTTCACTATCATTAGAGTACAAGGACTCTTTCAACAAATCAAGGTGAGTCTAGTCTGTTATATGGAATGCCTTCCATGATACATGTACTTAAAATGAGGTGCGCATGCATCGCTGTCACTATGGTGCCACATTATCGAGACCGTATTGCAGGCAGTCGGTCAGTAAAAGAGTCGAAACCATCCACATCTGTAATAGTGCTTGCTATTTGAGAATTTCACCTTTAAAAATGTAATTTGCAAACAAGAAGTGTCTGATGGTTTCGGGAAAAGTGCAAATCAACGATAATTTCACGAAATTTTCACAATTTCACGTCGCCTTAGACTTTATAACTTCCACATATTCTGAATCTACGCAAAAAATGCTTTTAGAAAATGTATAAATCACACACCCCTGCATCACCAAAAGAGGCTGCATTTTCACCTCTTTTTCTATTATGATTGCCAGATCTGACTGGGTGCACTTGCACCCAGATTTGACATAATCGCATCTAGAGGCGGATTACGTTATTTCCAGAGTTCCATGAGTTTTTCACGAATTTCCTGACAATTGAGGAAAAAAAAGAATGGGACCTATCTAAGCGAAACTCCCCACTCCACAAAAATCTTTTTTCGCCTAGTCTCGGGAACAAAATTAATTGAATGCACGCAAACCCTATCTCCCACCCAAACCTGCTGAAGTCTCCGTTTACCGCATGTGAAGTTCACTGGTATCCGAAAAATGAGTTTTTTATGGATTCCCTGACAACTGAGCAAAAAAAGGGATGGCACCTTTCTAAACGAAACTCCACTTCACAAAAATCGTTTTTCGAATACCTTCGGGAACAAAATCAACTCTTAATGCATGCGAGCCCTATCTCCCATCCAAAACTGACTGAATACTCAGCTTGCCAGGAAGGTTCAGCAATATTCGAAAAATGAGTTTTTTACGAATTTCCTGACAATTGAGCAAAAAAAAGAATGGGACCTATCTAAGCGAAACTCCGCTCCACAAAAATCGTTTTTCGCCTAGTCTCGGGAAGAAAATCAATTGAATGCACGCAAACCCTATCTCCCATCCAAATCTGACTGAAGTCTCCGCTCACCGCATGGGGAAGTTCACTTTTTTTATCCTTGCATTCTCCCGTCATTCGGGGTCTGCCGCTCTCGTCAATCTTTCCATTCTTCTCGGTTTAAGGCCTGCTCTTCTCTTATACCAAGCTCTATCATATCTGCTTTGACTTTATCCAGCCATCTCATCTTAGGTCTTCCTCTTGGTCTCTTCCCTGGCACTTCCACTGACATGGCCAATCTCGTAATGTGGCTTTCTTCTCTTCGGCTCACATGTCCATACCACTGTAGACGTCTTTCTTGCATCTTCTTTACAATGGGTGTCACTTTCATTACGCTTCGTATAGTGTCATTCCAGACATGGTCTAGCATCGTCACTCCTGTGGTCCATCTCAGCATTCGTGTTTCCATTACACTGATCATTCTTTCTTCGTCACGTGTACATGGCCAGCATTCGCTTCCGTATAGGGCCGTCGGTCGAACTGTCGTGCGATATATCAGGGACTTCAGCTTTCTTGGCATCCGCTTATCACATAGGACTCCTGTGAGACTTCTCCACTTCATCCATGCTGCGTTCACTCTACTGCTTATCTCATCGTGGAGGTTGCCATCTGCGGAGATACGGCTTCCCAGGTACTTGAAGGAGGTGGTCTTCTTGAGTTGCGTGTCTCCGATCTGGATTGTCCCGGGTGTCTGTGTTCCCAGTTCCATATACTCCGTTTTCGTCATGTTCAGCTTCAGTCCGTGCATCTCAAGCTGATCCTTCCACTTCTGCACTTCCATCTGGAGCTCTCTTCTGCTTCTTGCCAGTAGGAGAACATCGTCTGCGTACATGAGCGTCCATGGTGGTTGTCGTATGAAGCCGTCGACCACTGCATCTATGACTGTGTTGAACAGGAGCGGTGAGAGTACAGAGCCTTGGTGTACGCCGGCTCGTATCTGGAATTCTTTCGTCGGTCCCGCTGCTGTCTGTACGTGGCTGGTGGCATTCTTGTAGATCATCTTCGTCCATTGCACGTACTCTTCTGGCAACTTGTGCTTTCGTAGTGCCCACATATGATATCGTGTGGTACCTTGTTGAACGCCTTCTCCAGGTCGAGGAACGCCGCATGTAGTTCACATTGCTTCTCCCTGCTTCTTTCTATCACTATTCTGGCGGTATGGACGGCATCTGTTGTGCTACAACCCTTCACGAATCCACACTGATTGGGAGCTAGTTCTATGATACTTCGGAGTCTTGTTTCTAATATTCGTTCGAAGATCTTCAGCGTGTGACTCGTTAGACGTATGGGACGATATGGAACAATCGGCAATGTCTCCTTTCTTCTTCCATACTGGAATCGTTGTGCTTTTGGACCAATCGCGCGGCATCTTCTTGGATTCGATTATCCGATTGAGAAACTGTGTTAGCCAAGTGATTCCAGCTTGTCCGCACCTCTTCCAGAATTCACTGGGAATATCGTCTGGGCCGGTTGCTTTGCCGTTCTTCGTCTTCGCTATGGCTGCGCGAACTTCATCTTCTGTGATGTTTTCTACCGGTCCTTCTACCGTCTCAGCTACTATGGTAGATGGCATTTGGTAGCTTGTAGATGCTATTCTCTCGAAGTGTGCTCTCCATCGTTCGCTTATCTTCTCTGGACTTCTTAGAATTCTTCCGTAGTCTTTGATGTTGTAGAAGTGGCTTGTATCTTCTGTGGCTTTTGCTCTTCTCCTTGTGATTCGGTAGATATCACGTTTGCCTTCTCGAGTGTACAGCTTCTTGTAGTCTGCTATGTAGGCTTCCTTCGCTTCTCTTACACTCTTCTTTGCTGCACGTTTTGCGTCTACATGTTTTTGACGATCGTCTTCTAATCTTGTCTTCTGCCACAGTTGGTATGCGAGCTTCTTACTCTTGATCACAGCTTGAACATCCTCATTCCACCACCAAGTTTCTTTCTCAAATCTTGCCTTTCCTGGTTTTGTAAATCCCAGCAGGTTTCCTGCCGCTGATGAACGTTCTTCTTCAGATTCGTCCAAAAACGCTCCGGTTCTCTTCTAGGAGTGGTAGAGCTGATTCCATAGCAGCTTTGGACCGAGCGTCGTCTTTGAGCTTCCACTACTTGATGCGCATTCTGTCCTCCGTCATTGCCTTTCTTCGATTCTTGACTGGGATATTCAGATCTAGAATCAGTGGTCGATGTTGTGGTACACGTTCTTCGCTAGGGATCACTTTGCAGTTCTTCACGTACTTGAGCTCCTTTAGTCGTACCGCCCAGAAGTCTATTTGCGATTTTCGATTTCCGCTGGCATACGTTACTAGGTGATCGCTCTTCTTGATGAGGTAGGTGTTTGCCAACGCCAATTCATGAGCGGAAGCGAACTCCAGAATTCGATTGCCTTCTTTGTTGCGGATCCCATACCCGTGATTTCCGTGACTTCTACTCGCACCACTTCGCTGTTCACCGACATGGCCGTTAAGATCTGCTCCAATCAGCAGCGTTTCTTCTGAAGGTACACATCTGATGTAGTCATCTAGTTCTTGCCAGAAGCCGTCTTTCTCTTCTACCGTGCAACCTGCTTGGGGTGCGTGTGCGGTGATTACTCGGAGAATTTGCTCACCCACATCTAATGTGATGCCCATGAGCCTGTCACTGAATCGATCTACACTTGTTATACTATCTCTTAACCGTTCGGAGATGACTATTCCGACGCCGTTTCTTTTGCTGCTTGTTCCTTTATATAGAAGCTTGAAGCCGTCTCCTATATCGCGTGACTTCTCACCCTTCCATCTGGTCTCCTGGATGCAGGCGATGTCTACTCTACGTCTTCCAAGAAGATCCACCAGTTTTCGATGTCGCCCAGTAAGAGATCCGAGTTGACAGTGGCCAATCGAAGAGGAGAGAACTTGGATCGTTGGTTGTTTCTTTTATGTTTCATCAGGATTTTTGGGGAAGTTCACTGGTATCCGAAAAATGAGTTTTTTATGAATTTCCTGACAATTGAGCAAAAAAAAGGATGGGACATTTCTAAACAAAACTCCACTTCAGAAAAATCGTTTTTCGCCTAGCCTCGGGAACAAAGTCAACTCTAAATGCATGCGAACTTTATCTCCCATCCAAATCTGACTGAATCTCCGTTTACCGCATGGGAAGTTCACTGGTATCTGAAAAATGAATTTTTTTTATGAATTCCCCGACAACTGAGCAAAAAAAGGGAAGGCACCTTTCTCAACAAGACTCCACTTCACAAAAATCGTTTTTCGAATACCTTCGGGAACAAAATCAACTCCAAATGCATGCGAACCCTATCTCCCATCTAAACCTGATTGAAGTCTCCGTTTACCGCATGGGAAGTTTACTGGTAAATCCGAAAAATCCGAAAAATGAGTTTTTTATGAATTCCCTGACAACTGTGCACTCGTTTAGGAAGGTTCCATCCTTTTTTTCTCAAGTATCAGGGAATTCGTGAAAAACTCATTTTTTCAAATATTGCTGAACCTTCCTGGCTGCAAACTGAGTCTTCAGTCAGGTTTGGATGGGAGATAAGGTTCGATTTTCTTCCCGAGGCTAGGCGAAAAACGATTTTTGTGGAGAGTTTCGTCTAAAAAGGTCCCATCCCTTTTTTTGCTCAACTGTCAGGAAATTCGTAAAAAACTCATTTTTTCGAATATTGCTGAACCTTCCTGGCTGCAAGCTGAGTATTCAGTCAGTTTTGGATGGGAGATAGGATTCGTATGCATTTAGAGTTGATTACCACAATTATGCTTGATCACCTCTAGGCTATGGAGGTACTTTTGTTTTGCTTTTTCTTGTGTTGGACTTTTTTTCGTGCTGATCCGAACTACCAAAACATTCCCAAATTTAGGTTGATGAAAGACCATCGGAGCAGTACTCCGATATTGGAGGTTGTGACAAGCAAATCCAAGAACTCATCGAGGCTGTAGTACCGCCAATGACACACAAGGACTGCTTTGTCAACCTCGGTTTCCATCCACCAAAGGGAGTTTTGCTGTATGGACCACCAGGTACGTTCTTTCATTTTACCCCGGCTTATCCTCTATATAATGCTGTGTCAAATACGGATAAAACCATGATGGCTCGCGCTGTTGCTGCGCAAATTAAGTCGACCTTCCTCAAACTTGCCGGTCCACTGTTGGTTCAAATGTTCATTGGAGATGGCGCAAGACTTGTTCGTGACGCTTTGCACTTGCCAAGGAAAAGGCTCCTGCTATTGTATTCATCGATGAACTTGATGATATCGGTGGGTTTAGTTCCTTGTCTAGCACCGTAAATTTACTTTTTCTTTTCTTTTTCTGTCATAATTTATTGGTCTAATCAGGTGCCAAGCGTTTCGATTCTGAAAAAGCGGGTGACCGTGAAGTGCAACGTACTATGCTTGAACTACTCAATCGACTCGATGGTTTCCAACCGAATGACGAGATCAAGGTGAGATTATCGGCAGGTGTGCTTAAACCACGTCAGAGTCTATTTGGGTAATTGCTGCGACATACATAATCGATGTACTCAACCCTGCGTTGCTAAGATCTAGTCGGCTGGACAGAAAAATCGAACTGCCACATCCAAATGAAGACGCTCGAGCACGTATCATGCAGATTCACTCGAGAAAGATGTACGTCAAGTATGTTTTTTCCCACAAGTGCAATCATAGCGGTTTCTTTGACGATGCTGTCAAGGTCATGCTTTTTTTGCTTTGAGACCCTACCTTTGTTACTGAACAAACATTAGCAGCATCATCGGAAATCTGTTTAGTCATCGTTAGTTTCTTTGCATCACGATTTCATTCAAAAGGGCTAGGGTAGAGACGGAGAAGATTGATAATCTTGCATCTTCTTCTGTTTTTTCTTTGAATTCTCTCCGACATTTTTTGTATTACACCTAAGCACCTCATATCGCGAAAGGCGAAGCAAAAGTGATAAATTATTCTAGCATGTATTCTAGCAAAGACGTGAGTTTCCAGTAAGCAAAATGCTGAGTGGGTGCTTATGATCCGAATTGCGAACAGAATGAGGAATGAATGAATCAATGAAATGAATCAATCCCATTGTTTCTATATTTTGACAATTGTGGTATCGGTTCATATATTTTTATCGTCATTCTTTATTTAAATTAATGTATGAGCTGCTTTTGATTTGTAGGTGAGTCCTTTTTATAGGGCTTACGTGATGGTGAAGGTCGGTAAGTTTGAGGTCGAACGCTCGCGCATCCAGGTTCTTAGTTTCTTTTCACCTACCAAACGTTCTTCTGCTATAAGGTGTGTTAGCCTTTAATTACATGAAGCGATTTCAAAATGTATGGGATTTGTTTAACTGGTTTCAGGCATGGCGGCCGCAAATACCTACCTTCACAATTCGTAGAGCCCTACAGATAGTGCACTTATTTCCTTAACGCTTGACTCTTATTGCATCCTATCGAGGATCTGTAGCGAAATGACGGAATAGTCGGACCAATAAGCAACATTTGCCATTGCAAAAACATCCGTCTAACTGCAAGCAGTAACGAAGGCTGTTACCACAGTATCCTATATGAGACCGTTTTTGAGATTATTCGCGGTGTTAAAGGATGAGCTACGACCGTGGGAGAGAAGAGAAATTGAGCACAAACAAGCGGAAGAGGAAAGGGTAGTAATTACAAGGTGAGATACAAAAAGAAAGCTTAGTCACAAGGTGAGGTACAAAAAGAAAGCCAAGCCCGGGAAGCTTGCTGCGCTCCAAGGCCAAAAGCATGCCGAATGCGAAGTGAGTTAAAGTAGATAGCTGTGTGCCTCGAATACGTAGGTGATAACAGCGAGCCGGATCATTGACGATACGCCACAGCGTTTGAGCGCGATTTGGGACTATAGCTATACCACCAAAAGCGGTACCAAATTCGATCGAAGTAGTGTGTAGCGCGTAATCTCTTTTTCAAAAATCTATACACATTATACCAGGGACGTAGGACGTTGTCTAAAAAGGACAGTTATAGCCCAGAAAAGTGTAAAAATTTGTAAAAATTGAAGAAGAGCGTCTGATCTGCTTTTGCTTGGCGAATTGGACCCAGTTATAATTCAAAATCAACAGAAATAGTGAAAAGAGCAACGCGCTTTTTCTACATCCATTTTTTGATTAGTAAACGATTGCCCGTAGTTTCTGTGCACGTTTTATGATCGCACCATGTTGCGCCGCAGCAAATTTATTTGTTAAAAAATTGCCTGTTCTCTCAAAGGCAGTGTCCAGGCTAAACCTAACCCCCTCCGATTAGTGTCGATCCTGAATGTAGGCCCCAAAAAAGGGACATCTGCGTTGGTCCGGTCTTCTAACGTTGGCTCTGAATGGAGATAAGGAGCCTGAAATTCCCTGCCTGGGCGGAGTCTGATATCAGACTCCGCCCACCAGGGACTGCTCAATACGTGCCTCCCGACATGTATTGACGAGGTAGTGAGCAGAATCTGCACATTGCACCCTGCAATGCAACTGCACCCATGTAGTTGCAGCTCCTTCCCGCTGGCCTGCCGACGGGGACGGGCAATTCGAAGCTCGTCCGCGCCCTCAAGACTGAGTCCCCAAGAATCGGGTTTTTTGTGAATTTTAGAGAGTTTGAAGTTCGGAACTGTAATCAGGGCCACGGAAAGGCCTCAGAATGACGAAAACATGGGGAGTTGAATTCTGGGTGGACGCTGCCTTTAACGCACTTGCAGAGTGATTGCATACAGGATATTCAAGGTTATTCTTTATTCTCAAAAGTAGTTGACGGTTCCTCGAATTTTCGTGATCGCAGAGATTTCCAAAAGTTTTCATACTTGTTTAATGAGATGCAAATTGATATGGAATATGTGATTACGGATCCGACGCGAATTGAAATTGCAAAGTTTTGGGACCTGTTACTATAATTTACTAAAACGTATTCTTATTCTGGAGTTCATGTCAGGATAAGAATACATTTCAATAACTTGCCAATATACCCGCCGGCGGAACTTCCGGTTTGCATGCAAGCGCAAGGTTATGTGCAACCCTAAACAGTTACGCCGCTTTTTACATAAGTTGCTGCACTAATTCTCTACCTATAGTTCTCTGGACTAAATTTGGGATGACGTGGTGATTTTTTATCACTGTTGGGTTCATGTATGATTAACATTTTGATGTTCTCGATTTGGAACGCTTTGAGCGTGCGAATGAAATAGAAAAAACTGTCGAATCTACTAGAAAACCTGGACGCCAAACTTTTAGCTTTATCTTGAAGGACAGTTCTTATTTCGCATCCCAAACTGCACCGTTTTTTCCATTGGTTGTTATAATATTACATATAATCTATATAGTTTGAAGCAGACACTGAGCTTGAAGGCATCGTCCGAACAAAATTTTTTTACTTACCTGGGCTTATTCTTTCGCTCGTGGTGAAAATTCAACTTGCAGAGTACGAAAATGTCAAAAACGGGCTATTATAGAAGCTTTTAATATTGAATATGGAAGCTTGCCGCCGAGGTTAAGACGCAGGGCCGTGGTGAGATGGTGAAACCCTGTGTGGCTTATGTACTCTGGCTATCGCTTATGGGCAGTGTCCCGGGAAAAACTCGATTTTGAGATTTTGTGCTTATACGGGCCTATTCGCCATGCTGAATCCGAAAATCCACATTGGAAAGCGCAAAACTGCGAAAAAGAGTTCTAACGCAGGAGAGAAATCAGAAGTGGGCGGGATCTTCCCACTGTAAATTCACGCTCCCAGTTTCCGGAGCGGTCTTCTCGATTTCGATAGCCGTCCTAGCATCGCTACAGCCATGTGCGAACGATTGACTTGAAACCGGAAGCGAGAAGATCGCTGCGGAAGCTGGAAGCGTGATTTCACATTGGAGAGGACCCCGTCCACCTGCTAATTTCCATCCTGTGTTAGAACCGTTTTTCGCCGTTTTTGCGCTCTCTAATCTGCATTTTCGGATTCAGCGTAGCGAATAGGTCCGGGTAAGCACACAAAATCTCAAAACCGAGTTTTTGCTCGAACACTGCCTTTAAAGGGTCGGGAAAGACCGGGACCGTCCCGGTCTTTCTCGCTTTGGGTTCCTTCATACTACGCCGCGTACGCCGCGTACGCGCTGCAGCGTAATGGAAATATGCTCACGGCAGCAGAGCTCCACTTTTTTTGATGTATATATTTGCTGCACATTGGTGCCCCTCAATAGTGTTCCTTCACATTATACATTTCTTCCTCTCTTATGCTTTGTTTATCCTGTCTATCCTTTGTCTATATCAATGATTGATGGAATGACTTAGGTTGTTGTGCTCCCTCTACTTTTGAGTTTCACATTTTGTATAGTAAGTGACTGCACATTGCTCATCTGGTTGTATATTGGTAGTATATGGTTGTATGATTGTATGTTGTATTGCGCTGTTAACACCTCCTTACAAACACTTCACTAAATGAAAAGGATTTCTCTTCTTCATACTGTTAAACTGCAATTGCAAATTTGATGCGCCTTTGTTGCCACAGTTCGTTTTCTTCGCTCACAAAACATCATTCAAGTTTCGGCGCTGACTTCAGCTACATTATACAGTCAATGCGGCAAAACAAAACTCGTTGGTTTTATTTTCTCTTTGGGTATTAATCTCACTTCATATCTGCCGTGAGCATATTTCCATTGCGCTGCAGCGGCGTGCGCGGCGTAGTATGAATGAACCGTTTAGAAGCAAAATGGTGCAATGCCACTTGGGCAAGAGCTTTATCAGAGTGGGATATCTGCCCGGCCGCTCCAGTGCTGTCCTTTTTTTGATTCAGGGTGGCTAAGGGCATTTTCCTGGATAATTTTAATATTTTGAAAGCTATTACTTACCCATTTAGCATGTCCGGCAATGGAGACAAGCTCAATCTAAAGAAGCAGGGAAAAAAGCAAGCTATGATTGTTTTGGTGATCCTACAACCGCCAAGTGAAGTTGGTATGTCAGCTTATTTCGTAAAAGACACATTTGCTAACATAATTAAGTCAAGATTTCAATTGAGGAAAGAGCGCGTTACCGTCTGCAACTCATATAATTTGAACAGGATTATTAATCATGACTACGGAGTAGATTGTGTACTCTGTTCATCAAACGTGTGCAATAAAATTGGGACTCGCCTTTGAGTCGTATTTGTCAAGGAAACTGCAACTTGCAATGTTTTGCTCAATTTTCGCAGCGTTTCTGAGCCAAGCGAGAGAATTGTGCATAACGTCATCCGACAAACTTTTTTGTATGTGCGTTACCAAGCTTTTAAATGAAGGTTTGACCGGTGGACCAGCGGAAGTCGTAATGCATTAGCCTAGAAAGGTCTTGCAAGTATATGATAATTTCGCAACATCCAAGAAAATGCCCCCAGCCCCCTTAAATCGAAAAAAGGACAGCACCGGAGCGGCCGGGCAGATATGAAATCGTACCGTACAGGGGCTCCCCCCCCCCCCTGATAAGCTCTTGTTCAAGTGGCATTGCACCACTTTCACGGCGACGTGCCCGCGTCTTCAATCGATAGCCAGAGTATGTCGCAAGCAGTCAAGACGTAGAATTTTACCATCCCAACACGACTCTGCGACTCCACACACCCCACCATCTCACCACGGCTCTGCGTCTTAACCTCGGCGGCAAGCTTCCATATTCAATATTAAAAGCTTCTAAAATAGCCCATTTTCGACATTTTCGTACTCTGCAAACTGCATTTTCACCATCAGCGGGAAGAATAAGCTTAGGTTAGCAAAGAATTTTGCTCTGACGATGCCTTCAAGCTCAGTTTCTGTTTCAAACTATATATAAATTATCTTATATATATAGCTGAATGTCTGCTTGTATGTATGCCTGTATGTCTGTATGTCTGTCTGTATGTACGTATGTTTCGAATAGAAATTTCTATCTCTGAACTGATCAAAACCAAATTTGGCATACATACACTTCGGGGCGGGGCGGGTGTCCTAGGCCACTTTTCGTTATCGATCCATATCAATTTTATTGATTATTTTTATCGATTTTTTGCAAGGTAGACCTACGGGGCTGGGAGTTGGCACCTGGGAGTAATCAAGCATGCTGATTACGAATACAATATAAGTTTTTGGAATCGTCCATTAGTCTTATAGATTTTATCGATCTTTTTGCAAAGTTTGAGTTACGGGGCTGGGAGTTGACACTGTGGGATAACTGAGCATGCTGATTACGGAAGTAGTAACTGTTTGTGAGAATATCCAAACGAGGTAATCGTTATTTTTCATACTCAATCCTGCATTAAAATTTCTTCTGTCATCTGAGACTGGATTTCGGTAAGGGATAAGCGAGTGCTGATTACAAAACAGCCTTCCTGAAATAATTCGATTGCCAATGATCACGATCAAACATAATAAAAGAGTACACTGATCCCTATTAAATCACAACAATTTCAATTTTTAGTACGGTTTGAAGTATTAGGCTGGAAACTAAGTTTTGCAACTGGTTTCATAACTTCACTCTCTTTGGATATGGCGCACTCAAACTTTGGCATTATGTAGAAGGCAATGTGAGCTACAAGCGAGCACAAATTGTTTGAATGTTGAACACGAAATAGAAAAGTTTCAGGCGTTTTTCGAAAATTAGTGAAATTAGAGAATTTTTGGGGTTTCAAGCAAAAATGAAGCCTTTGGCAGTCTAAACCATGCGCAGCAATCCGGATTCGTCTACAAATTATTGCCGAAGGTTGACTCCTTTAGTCTATTAAAAAAGAAACAAAATTTAGGGGCATGTCGAGATTTGGCGTCCTCATAAAATCGAACGAGTCGATGTACGCAAGAGCTGCTGGGGACGACTGTCATTGACTAAAGAGTGCAAGGCTCAAATTCCGCCGAGACCTTACCTAGTAAGGTTATTTGACCTGCCAAACGCGAATATCACATTTATTTGTTGAATCAACGCCTTTCTCCTTGTTTAGGGTGAGACCCCATATTGTACACCTACAGTAATCCTACAAAAAAAGCCCTTATCACGCAATTTCACTATTGTTTTCGTGATCAGCATGTCGGATAATACCTCTATGCCAAGTTTCAGCCAAATCCGTCAAACTTTGAATTTTTCCCCTTCATACCATACACCTACCGTAACCCTCACTGCGACGTCAGAATTTGGTAGAACAGCAGCTGCGCTTGTAGCTTACGTAGTAACCAACACAGTGGCAAAATTTGAGTGCGCCGTGTTGACTAAGAGGGAAGTTATGAGACCAGTTGCAAAACTTAGTTTTTATCCTAATATTTTGAAAAATGTTTTATTTACGAGACACTCTTTTAGAACTCAAGTTCTAATTGTTAAAATTTTGCATGCAAACATTCTATATGTGGATAAACATACCATGAATATTTTCAGAAAAAAACCGTTTTTCCAGACTTGCTGCTCTGAGGGCCTCAGAATCACAAGAAAGCCGTGATTCTCGACTCGAACAGATGCGATCGAGAAACGCTGAAGCCAGATCTCAGGAGACGGCCGAACAGCGCGAGTCTCGATTCGACAGCAGTCGAATGAAGACTGAGGCTTTACGAAGAGTGAAAACTGGTGCAGCGCACTTAGGCCCGTATGCACTAACATTTCTGCGGCGAGGGGAGTGTCCCCCGTTATGAAGAGACCGCGTGCGGACGCCGCTGCGGCTTTTTCATCATTGGGGACGCCGCTCCCCTCGCCACAGGGATGTTAGTGCATGCGGCCCTTAGTAAGGCTCGAACGTGATCGTGCTCGACATGTCCACGCTCGACAGACAAATAGGCGAGTAATTCTCCACCTCGTGGCATTAAACTACGATGCCCAGGTCGACTACTGGGCCAATCCGAAGCTACTTAGCTACTAATTTGGAGAAGGATGGATGTCGTAAGTGGCAAGTGTCAAGCCAAGAAGTTCAGATCCGAACCCTGGCATGTGCTGTTCCAGCGGCAAAGTTATCCGCCTCTACGTGAGCCGCCTAAGCCGCTTCGTTCATACATGTTCTGCACCAGTTCTGTGTCCAGGCATTGCTTGCAGAACATCAGGAAGTACGATGCCTGCTTCCAGATGACGTCCTTCGGCACTACTGTCGCCATGCCTGACGTTGAGGAGCAGGGCTACATGCCAACGTTCAAGGTGCAGGGACAGGTCTATCATAGAGTTGGATACCTGCTTCCTTATGGCAATGATAGCCCCAAGTTCTTGCAGCTGTACTTCGTCTGCGACGAGCAGCTGCAAGCGGATCAAAGTTGCGGCATCATTGGTGGCACAAGGCCGGTCATCGTGCTAGAGCTGCAAAGAATGCTGCATCAGCACAACGACCTGGTGAAGGACTTCAAAACCAACCTGGACCAAATGCCTACAGACGAGTATAAGGTTGTTATCCGTGCTGACAGGAGGTCTGCTGGTCAGCATGAACGACCCTTCAACGCTCCGTCTGTAAGCGAGATGGAGGTGCTCTTGGTTGGCGAAGACGATTGCGACGGGCTTGACATAATCATCGAAACACGTTGCGAAATGTTCAGCGCATTTCTGAAACCCATAGGTCGTACGATGCCCTGCAGTACCCACTCATGTTCTGGGATGGAGTAAACGGGTATCACTTCGAACTATGGCAATGGAATCCTAGCATTGGTGCCCCTACCAATAAAAAAGGTATCGGCTATGGATTTCATGCGCATCGCATGATGATAAGGTCTACGTCCTTCAACCACGTCTGAAATGTCGCCAACTATTTCACCAGTTCATCGTGGACATGTATGCCAAGATTGAGAGTAAACGGCTCCTCTTCATTCGACGCAATCAGCGAAAGCTGCGTGCAGTCGACTACATCCACCTGCGGGATGCCGTGGCCGGAGATGGGAAATGTCACTGACTTCGGGCAAATGGTCATACTACCATCCTCCTTCAGAGGGGGGGGGGGGGGTTCACGCCAAATGCACGTGTACACTCAGGACCCAATGGCTTACGTTAGAGCGTACGGGCGTGCTGATCTGTTCATCATATTTACGTGCAACCCGGCGTAAACCGAAATTGCAGAAGAGCTCTTCCCTGGTGAAGCGCCTTCTGACCGCCACGACATCACGGCGAGAGTTTTCAAATAGAAGCTCACGAAGCTTATAGACGTGCTAACGAAGAGCCACTTCTATGGGGACACTCGCTGCTGGATACACCGTGGAATGGCAGAAACGCGGTCTTCCCGCATGCCCACATTTTAGTGTGGCTAAAGGAGAAAATACGCCCAGATCAGATCGACAGCATCATCTCGGCGGAGCTTCCCATTCGAGAAGGGGACCCCCTTTTACTCGATGTTGTCCTCAAAAACATGATCCATCCATGCGGACCACTAAATCCGAGGTCACCTTGCATAAAGGACCGCACATGCATCAAAAGGTACCCTCGGCAGCTGATCCGCGAAACCTAAACAGGGACTGATGACTATCCTCTATACAGAAGGCAAAAGCCTGATGATGGAGGACACACCGCCGTCATTCAAATGAAGGTGAACCATCAGAGCGTAGACGGCGTGGTGGACAACAGCTGGGTTGTGCCATACACTCCTTGCTCTCGAAAATGTTTCGAGCGCATATTAATGTGGAGTACTGTAATTCGGAGAAGTCGATTAAGTACGTCTGCAAATATGTAAACAAGGGAAGTGACATGGCAACGTTCGGCCTCGAGCACGCCACTGCACCGTTTGATGAGATCGAGCGATATCAAACAGGCAGGTACATAAGCAGCAACGAGGCAGTTTCGTGTACCCTGAGTTTCAGTCTCAATCCCACCTGTTATGAACAATCCCATCTGTCACCCGTCTACATGCCCATCTAGAATGGACAACGCGTCTACTTCACGGCTGATAATGCACGGCAAAAAGCTGCGCAACTTTGACGACATTCTTCCTTCTGTGCCAACATGATCCGTTCGCACGGACTTTATTGTACTCAGAAGTTCCGGGATACTTGGAACAAGTCA